TGTTTTGGCTTGTCCCCTAACTCGACAACATAATGAAAATCCGTTTATAAGCCAATAAGCCTTCGTTGCTTCAAAAAAATTTTACGCTTACCTTTGATCTATACGGTAACCATTCTCTCAATGAATGATTACATATATTTCACGCCAGAAAGCTTTATTCTAAGAACCCCATTTTCCAGCTATTGTCTCTTATAAATACTTAATCCAATCTATCTGTTAATTATTCACTGATACCTCGTGTATTGGCTAATAGGGAATCAATTATAGCAGTTTTGGCAGCAACTAATTTTTTTATTTTTTTTACCATGAAATATATCTTCACTCAGGCTGATAAAAAACCCTTATGAGCGAACAGGTGTCAACAGGTCATCTTGATCATTAATTTCAATTAATTTATTGTTCTTTTTTATGCTTCTTTTGATCTACACTGATTGATGCCCCGTGCAAATTGATAATTTTTGGGGGTGATAGAAAAAACGTGACATTACCCAAAATATGTATCGTATGTTTCACCCATTATAGAGCACCATATTTTGCTCTTTTTCAGGACCAAAATACAAAAGAAATCTGGCTCGCAATACAGAGTGCACCCTGCACATTGAGCGAACTAAACACAAGTGTGAATGAAAAGCTTCTTGATTTTCGACAGCAGATCCTGCAGCTTGATCAGAAGGTGCGTGCAGCTAGATGCGGTTAAGGACTGACTGAGCTTTGAGTTTTGGTCTCTAATTTAAATTATAAAGAATTAGCGGCCCTAACTTACATAAACTCAAGTAGGCGACGTTAATTATGCAACGTAAATGAAACTTAAAAGGTAAGAAGCTACATTGAATGGAAAGGCTGCTAATTCTTAGCTGTTACGATTTTGCATCAGTAAAAGTTCACTGGTTTCAATTTTTCATACTTGTTTCCTAAACCAGAAAATAATATGCTTAGGAAGGAATCCAAGATCTAGAGAATTCTCGAACAAAATAACATACGACAAGACCAAAGAACGGTATCTCAATTAGATTATTACGCGCTTGCAATGTAAGCCTGATAATAAGGCTTACTTTAGAAGTATTGTGTTAGGCAGCACGAAATTAATAAAGATCACATAACTTACCTTTCAAGGTAAGATATACTTGAATCGACTTTTTCCTTCTGCAGAACCTAACAATTAAAGGTTTGAGAGATCCTCTAAAATCTCAACTACCGCCTAACTAGAGAGTTAGCCAAGATTTTTCCATATTTTCAGGATATTTCTTCTAGTTATTTGCTTCGCTTTTGCT